GGTCCCAGGGGCCCTTGAATAGATGAGCCCCCCCTCCGCCTGGGGTGTTTAGAAAGGGAGGGGCGGGGAGGGGGCACGTTTTGGATTATCACAGGGTCTACGGAGTCATGTGTCATTAGTGAGCCAGGGCCGTTACACTGAACACCCAGGCCAGAGCCACACAGCCAAGACTTACCTCCACCCACATGCCCACGCACCCTCATCACGAATATCACCACGGCCGCTCAGGTGAACCTTCCCGAACAAAAAAACAGCACACCCCCAAAGTAGTGGAGTCAGTTGAGAGAGAGACAGAGAGAGAGAGAGCTGTTCTTTTGAGAAGAGTGTTTCCCAGGTTCCCCCATCAAGATTTCAAGCTTCCTGGCTCCAGTGTCTTTCTGGGTAACTCATTTATTAGCCTTCAATCAAGCCTTTGACTCCAGATAAAGGCTCTTCTCCCAGATGACATGTATGTAAGCACTCAAATGACCCCACAGGAAACAACACGCAGGACAGATCTCTGCAAGGCCCGTCACTCCTCCAGTTTGCCCACCAGCTGCCCTGTAGCAGAGCCCCGCCCAGTACCCACTGTGTTATGAACCTGTGCATGTCCACCATGGCATCAGATCGATCCTGTGATCGTTCTGGTCCGTCCTTTTCAAGTCCAGCTCCCTGGATAAAGAGATAAGACAATTGACCCTGACCCTTCCCAGGATGGAGACCTCTTACGTTCCACATGGTTCATTTGAACAAACAAGCAAACCAACCAGCAGATGCCTTGTCCACCCGCACAAGCTCAGTGGAGGCTGTCTGGTTATAAATACAGTTTAGACCTGCCCAGAACCAAACAGGTATCTAGGAAACCTACATTTATTTGTATAGCCCATAATGCTCTCATGTGCAGATGCTAGGTTGGTAGCCTTTAATTGTGATGTTTCATTCAGTGTATACATAGCATGTTATAATGTGCTCCTATGCCTTCAGGAGGACCATTGCCTGCCATTCAATACATTCCACCTTGTGTTCCTTTTACATCCATTTAAATGCCCTTCACGTGGGTTGACTTCACACCCAGCCTGAACGTTTCTTCCGATTCTGAGTGGACACGGCCGTGTTAGGACCACTGTCTGCTTCAGCACCTGTCCCCTTGAGAGTACTGTGTCAGGCAGGGGGCCCGAGGGTGGGGAGCACTTAGCCAGATGGCCCTGGACAATGGCCTCCAGGGACACTTGCCTAGAAGACACAGCTTGGGACCCAAGCTTGGGTCCCGTGTTTTCCTAACGAGAGACTGGTGTTTTAGGAATGACTGATTCAGAGAACACAGGGGAGAGGGAGGCCGCAGATTCTACCTGGTCCACCAGGGAGGAAGAGGGGAAGAACAGTCCTGTGGATGGATTTTGAAATCTGTTTAGCGCTGTCTCTCAAAAAAACACCCAAACTCACTGCCATTGAGTCAATGCTGACCCATAGCGACCCCCTCGCCCCACCCCGTGGGTTTCAAACTACCAACCATCCAGACCACAGCCCAACACATAACCTCTACCCCACCCAGCAGGCTTCCTGCAACAAGCTCCCTAGGACCTTTCCCTTTAGGGCTTCCCTCTGGATCAGGGGCCTGCAAACTACCGGATGCTCTCAGCACATGCATGTGGCTCTGAAGTAAAATGGAAAATTCTTGAAGGATATTATTCAAGTAATGGTGATTTCATTTGCTTGTAAAAATATACTTAGGGCTCTCAAATAATTTTTTAATTGTTGTGAGGGACAGGATTGGCTCTTCTGTCTCAAGAGTTTGCCAACCCCTGACCTGGACACAAGTATAAAGAATACTCGTTTCCTTCTGTGGGCCCTGGCACTGCACTCACTCCCCCTAGAGATGCCCATTTGGCCCATCTCCTTCCTCCGACCCCAAGGCTGTGAGCAAGGCTGCCCTCAGGCTTGCCCCAAGCCCTGCTGGGAGATTTGTCACTCTGAGCAAACACTGAACGGAGATTTCCACCTCAAAGCAGACTGCCATTCCGGCTCTGTTGACGGTGTTGTCTGTCACTCTCCCGCACACCAGCTACACACCAGAACTGGACCCACTTCCTGAGCCAGGAGGGAGCCCCAGTGGCGCTGTGCTCCGACCTGCTAACTGCCAGGACAGTGGTTCAAGCCCCCCAGCCGCACCAAGAGACAGAGGAAGCTGTCAGCTCCCGTAAAGAGCTGCCGGCTCCTTAGGAAAGGAGGGCGATGGGAACAGGAAGCCCAGGGAGGAGGCGGGATGCGAGACGGCATGTGGAAGAGACTGCGGGGGAAGAGTTGGCTCAGAGTGACTCAGTGTGACCTGCTCTCTCAACCTTCACCTAATTCACAACCAAGCAGTGGTTTTAGAGGGGATCTGCTGTCTCAGAAACCCTATGTAGGGCCGCGGTGAGCCAGAATCAGCTCGATGGCAGTGGGGCTGTTTGGGTTTTAAATTTTTTTGTTTGGTGTTACTGGTTGGGTACTTGTGGTTTTAAAAAGCACCCTCATCTTCATTTAGTAGGGAATTTACAAAATCAGTGTCCAAATAGAGGATTTGAAGTTGGAGGATTTGACCAAGTATTTTCTGCTCGATGTAAAAAGGAAAGCAAATGAATTTGGTCCCCCAAACAAACCATAGCCAAACATTTCCCCACGAAAAGTTATTTGATTCTGACTCATTAGTGACCCTATAGCAGCCCTATGGAACGGGAGAGAACTCTCCATAGTGATTGCAAGGGAGAGAACTCTCCATAGTGATTGCAAGGCTATAAATCTTTGCAGAAGCAAACAGCCTCATTTCACCTGAAGAGCGACAGTCAGGTTTGAACCGCAGACCTCGCAGTCAGCAGCCCAGTGCATCACTCACTACACCAGGAGGGCTCCTCGGTGCACATTTCAGGAGATAAAAATGAACAGAAACACTAGCGTTGTGTGATAGAGGAGCTGCGAAGAGTGTGTGGGTAACAACAGTGCCATGCAAGTTAAGGAATCAGTCATTAGAAGACGCACACCTGATATTTTTCCAAGGTTTATGTCTTTATTTTCATATTTGGATGCTCGCTAATGAGTCCTTTCTGCTGTCCGACATTTATTTTCCCCCAAGACATAACCGCCTTCGGGAAGCCCCCCCAGGTAGCTTTAGCAAGTATTTAGAGCAGTGATCACAAAGCGCGGCCCACAGACCTGCAGCATCCCCATCTGGGAACGTGGGAGCAATGTTCTGTCGCCCAGACTCATTCAGGTCAGAGACTCAGGGAGCGAACAAAGCCCAGGGACCTGTATTTGTAGCTTGGAACCACCGCTTTATGGAGGGGGGGACTGGCAGTCTTACAGCGCAGGCGCCTTGCCACCTGCAAGGTAACGCAGTGGGGAGCCGCCTGTCACAGGGAAACTCACACAGGGGCACACAGGAGTCACCATCCACTCAGTGGCAGTGAGTTTGGTTGGGGTTTTTGGTTAACAGCCTGTTGCTTATTGAGCCCAGATTCCCAATTTACAGTCAGATAAACTGAAGCTTACAGGGAAGCAACTTGCCCCAGATCACAGGACTGGTGGCTGGGAGAGTGGAGTCCAGTCACCCGGGTCTACTTCACCAGTGTGGGATGTTGGGTGCATTCTTCAACCTCTGTGCCTCAGTTTCTCTCCTGAACTATGAGGACACCGTAGTGGCTACCACACAATGCTGGGTGTGGTCAGGCGTGCATATTGATGTCAGTGAGCCTTAGAGGGACACAGGCACATCGTGAGTGTGATGTCAGGAAATGCCAGCCCACCCCCGAGGAGACAGAACCATTGAGAGACGCGCACTGTGCATTTGGGGACTGAGTGACACCATGGAGGGGCAGGTTGGCAGCTCTTTCTACCACAGCCCAC